AATCAGCTAGGCAAATCATAATGTTATGAAGTGTAGTGAGGCTTGATTCTGTCCTCTGCTCCCTGGATATACAGAAGCTGCGTGAAAACTGTGAACTCTTGAAATGAATTCTGTGAGCCAAGGACTGGCATAGGAATGAAACTGGCTGTGTAGGAAGCGTCAAACTGGTAGAACTTGATTTGTAGGCATGGCAGCTCACTCCTTACAATAAAAATAGTGTGCACTAAATGACTAACAGAGGAAACAACTCAGGGATATGCTTACATTAAGCCAGTATAGAGCCTCAGGAGGGCCCATGTAATCAATTATCCTAAATCAAAGTCCTGGCACCCCCTATGAATTGCTATTGATTTTGACTACTAGTCAGTGAATCTTCCTAGGTCTAGAGTGAAATGTAAGTGTGAAGTGAGATAAAATTAAACGCAAGGAACAAGCAGGTTTGGGGAGAAATGTTATGATGAAGTTCATTCTTTGAAAGGGCTTAAAAATCGCAAAAACACAAGTCCCACACAGGGCTAAAAATGCAGTGCTACCACAGTATATATTGAAATAAGATGAGAAATTTTATTTTCTTATGAAGCTTCTATGGAAAAGTCTTCCTGGCTTTCTAAATAAAGCCTTTGCCCTACATAGCAGCCGAATATATGGCGTTCAGTTAATTCTTTTTCGTGTAGCCTAAATGCAACTGTTTTGATACTGGCCTTCTTGCAGCAAACCCAGAAATCGTAATATAAATTATTCCAAAATTGCCATGTAAGATTCTGTCCTCTTTGTGCTATAACTTATGAGTTAAAAGTTTCTTTTCTACAAAATCGCATTCCAGGTAGTGTTCCCTGATGGTTTCTGGAAGAAGCAGCAGCTATTTCTTTATGCATACTTTTCACTTCAAAGGAAATTTAATCTATTATAAGGAAAAATAGATGACTGTATCCATTATCGTACAAGGAAACACATCCTGGAACCTTTTTTTGCTCAGCAGGAACCTTGTGTTTTCTCCACGTCCTCATTATACATGTTTTGGCACGAGCACAAAGCAGGCATGCTCATTTATATTCTAGCTGATCAAGTGAAGAAGTCTGATTAATGTAAATTTTGGATCAAGGTGAGGGTCATCTTTGTAACCTGAAATGAAAGAAACTATTGAATGCCTTCTCCCAGAAGGGGATATTCCAGTTAGATAAGGGGCCCAAAGGCAGTGAGACGAATCTTCCTCCTCTTGCCATCTTCATGTTCGTATCAGCTGCATAACAGCAGCACTAAATGCTGGGCTAGGACTAACTAACCCTGCCATGTAGCAGAATCCTTTGCCTCCCTCGCACCCATTCTGATGGGAGCCGGAGCTGCTGGGCCGGGCTGGCTGTGGGGAGAGGTTTCGGAGCTGCTCTGGCTTAGGCGAGGGTTGTCTCCCTTGGGCTGCCAGCTGTGGAAACCCACCTTGTATTCATAGCTGACCTGCATGCAAAGAGGATGCCCTTCTGCACCAGACTCTTTTTATCAGCCTCTGTCCTCTTCCTGGAAGGTTTCTGTTGACTTCTTCATAGTTTTATTCCATTTCACTGAGCCACACAAGAGAGGAGAACTAATGTCTAAGACGATAGACAGCTGGTTTAGGAGAGTCTGAGACCTGTTTTTGTAAGCAAGAAATGATTTTCTGTTGCTTGTTTTGATGTTAATGAATTAAAAGCCTGCCAGTGCATGCCGGGTTTCAGGGACCCTGACAGGAAAGAGCACAGATCAAGCTGCCTGTTCCTGGGCAGCGTGAATGCTCGCGAGTCACAGCAGCAGGGAGAGTTTTTACTCTTTTCAGGGAAAATCCCACCTTGTTTAGGCACGGGGACACCAGCATTTTTAGGACAGCAAAATTATATCCCAGTGTACTGCCAATGGTGAACTGCTATTTGGCTGTTCTGTCTCTTAGAAACCTTTGGTCTAAGGATTTGGGTTCGGTGCTTTTTCATGTTGCATGTGGTGCAATAGGAGTCAGAATGGAGGGTAGGTCAGATGGGAACACGAGAAGGACTATGAGCCACGGATGACATCCCAGCATGAGGGACAACTGCAAGAGAAGTGGTTAGTAGAGGTGGTGGTTGGCCCTTCAAATGTGGGCCATGAGAAGAAGTTTTCCTTTAGCAATGGGCTTTCCGTTTCATCAGTCGCTTTGAACTCTTCAGATTTACCATGTGGGCTGTTTATGAAACACAGTGTCTGGTCTGGTTGTTCTTATATTTTCCTGCTATGCTTGAAAACAAAAAAAAAGACACAAAAGGGAAGATTGAAAAATAAAATGCAAAATGTCTCTTGGGAGATGCTCGCTCTGCCCATGTCATGCTAGCTTAAATACAGTCCCCCCGTTACATGTCAAGCTGTACTTGATTGTTTTCAAATACATGGCGAAAATCATGAAGGAAGAAAATATTCTTTTGTGTGACACGTTCTTCTTTTGATACATTGGTTTCTGTAACTGTCAATGCAAAGGCTGTTGTTTCATCTTATATTATTTGGAAGTAAATCTCCTCCTCAACTCTTTATTCTTTGGATTGTTTTTCTTTAATACAGGTGTTATATTGATTATTGTATTTCTCTAGATGATGAAACGATGAGTTTTCTGTGGTGCGTTTTCTGTGTGATCCTCACTCAGAAGGCAACGGGGTTCCTGCTCTCTCCGTAGAGATTTAGGTGGCAGCTGGAAATACAGTCTGTTTCTAGTATTTTATGCTTTTCTACTGGGACGATGGAATATTTAATTTCATTATTCAGCACAGGATTATTCATTTTATGCAATGAAGGGAAATACATCAATATTGTCTGCAGCTTCCGGAAAAATTATACTTACCATGACTGTTTCACACACAGTATTTATATTTTATATCTTTTTCATCACTCAGCAATTATTCATCTCTCTGCTGAAAGGTTGCAATGAGTTCCTATAATTTCTGTGAACCCCTGAAAGCAATTCAATCACTAAAAGCAATTGATTTTACTTAAAGGTATTTCCTGAGACACATTCACAGTACAAATAACTGAATAAAGTCCTTTTTTTTTCTTTCCTTTTTATTATTCAGGAAATTTAATGATGTTTTATAAGAGGAGGTAAATCAATGTTGCTGTGTCATAACATTCATTGCACCAATATTAATCATGAGGGATTCTTGGAGATGGATGTTATACTGCGCAAATGTAATACTGTAAGTGGGAAGGCATTTGAAATGCAACATTAATTCATGCCCCCTTGTTATTGAATACTAGAAAATATTCATTATTTTGCTGATATTTTTCTTTTAAAATCACTTGATAAAAAAAAAAGTTATGATGTTTTGATCTGTGCAAACTTATTGAGATACTTATTTCTGAATCTTTCATATTGATATATTTAATTTCACTGTAGTGCCATTAAATATATGTTTCTAGGAAAGATCAAGGTATAAGTGCCCTCTTCCCACAAAAATTAGTTAAAGGGTTTACGTTTTCTTCAGTGGGAGCAAGGACAGGCATCCTCTCATGCCAGATGACTTGCCATTTGTAAAAGAGACTTTCACATTTATCTTATCCCCTGAGATGTTTAAATTTGGATTGTCAGTTGATTCAAATTTTATGAGGAACCCAGGCCCTGAGATGATTTGTGTGCAGGGCTGCAGACCCTGCAGGAGCTCAGCGATGGAGGTTTGTTCTCTCATGTATTTCCCCCGTGACCCTATGCAAATCACTTATTGCCTCTCGTAGAGCCTCAGCGCTGAAACAGGGTAATGTTGCTTTTCCTCCCGTTTGAAGGGTTAGTGAACAGTTGGATGGCTTATCTCCAGTGGATTGGTAGGGGCTACAGGAGAACATATAGTCTTATTTAAATGTACTGCTTTACATACATATTCTTCTATCTCTTTATGCCTCCACAATTATTACTTTCTTACAGCTCTCTTGTGGGGCCTCTTCCTTTCATTCTTTTCTTTGTGAGCAATCTTCCATGCGCTGGTCTACCTCTCTAAATATGCTTGTCAGGCCTTTCTGGGCTTTTATGCTCACGAAGGCAAGTAATATATATATGAGTGGATATATATGTGTGCATAATGTGAGCCAGACTTTGTGTGAACAGTCTCTGATGATCAAACTGACAGGCCTGTGCTCAGGAAACTAGATCTTTGATATATCTTTGTGCCAGATGTGTCCAGCTAAGTGATCCGGGTGTACAGTTCTTAGTCACAGAAACTCATATTGATTTCAGGAGGAAGCATCTTTCCTTCCACGGGGGACCAAAGAAAAACAGGAAGGCCATTAGGCCATTTCAGACATTTCTTGCTGAAACAGTCGGGGCTGAGGAGCAAAACCAGGGCACAATATTATGTTTTATCAGTAGAAACCCTAATTTTTTAAAAAAGGAAATTATATTAGTGTATCTTCACACAAAATCTCCTATATGCTTACCTCTGTGTCTGTATTTGCCTTTGCAAAAATGAACATTTGTTTTTCATGTCTTTAGCTTAAGGTATGTGTGTTGTTTAACTTAAGCTTGAACTTGTTCAAAAAAGGCAGCAAACCCTTGCCAGAGGGAACAGATCTGAGCTGTGCATTTTTCCCCATCAATCAATATTATCTAAAATAAAGCAGTAAATTCAGTAGCTGTTGTGGGAAAATAATGCTGGTTTTAATTGGGAAATGCAGGACGTTTAGCTGTCTGCTCTCTATTGGTTTTAATGGAAAGTAGAATTTCAAAGCCGCTGAACTATCATTTCTTTGATATCCCTTTTGCACGGCATGGCACGGGCAGCTGACCGACTAATGCTGTGGCATTTGCTGTAAAACTGTTATTGACCCTTGATGGGTTTGGTCTAGATGGGGCAGATATGGGATTTAAACAGAAAAACCCTACTACCAAACGTATGAGTGTATCTTTGTTTTAAAGCCTTACACGCCTGGGCATTTGGATAACCCTGCCTCCTCCAAGAAATGGGGAGAGTCATAGTTTGCCTGCGAACATCTGCGTTTTCCTTGATGAAACTTCTGTTTAGACATTGTAGATATAAAGCCAGCCAATATGGAGGACCTGACGGAAGTGATCACGGCCTCTGAGTTTCATCCCCACCACTGCAACCTCTTTGTCTACAGCAGCAGCAAAGGCTCCTTGAGGCTCTGCGACATGAGGGCCTCGGCCCTCTGTGACAAACATTCCAAGCGTAAGTCCTTGCCTGGTGGTGTTAATGGTCCGTGTCTCGTGGGCAGCATGTGCACGTGTGCATGGCACCAGTGTGGTCGTTTCTTAGTTGTTGGCACTGTTGAAGAAAAAAATGCGGGAGAAAATTCTGCTCCATACGAATATTTTCTGTTCACTTGAAAATGATCTTTTGTATGACTGGTCCCTCTTAGGATCAGTGAAGAAGCTACAGCTACAGCTGTCTAGCAAAAGACAGATGCTTCCCAAGCAATATTTTGAGTATGGAGAAATAAGCAGATTATCATATTGTTATGATTACAATGTGATGTTATGATTATGACTGTTGTAGTGAATGCTGGAGCACATAAATTTTGTTATTCAACCTGGCTTCAAAAATCTAAATTAGTTTTCTGGATTCAAAAACATTGAAGTCCTCCTGATTTTTTTTTTTTTTTTTTTTTTTTTTTTTTTCTTTGTTAATTTATTCTTTCACTCTAGGAAAATGTTATTCCATTAACTAATGTTTGGCAACTCAAAAAAAAAGATACTGTGCTGTCATAGAAGGTGTTGTCCTAATATAATCTCAAGTGACCTATGAGACCTATTTAACCTATTACTGTCAATTCATGACAGTACATTTTTGAAGGAAGAAAAAGAAATAAAATGTGATATTGTCTTTGTTCTCAAAGTAAGAAATGAAGGGTGTTCAGGCTGTCTGTCTATCAACTCTTTATAGTACAGATAAGACTGAATATGTTTTTTTCCACCAGTAACCTGAAAAAAATGAGACACTTCGCTGTGCACAAACAGGCTATTTATTCCTAATCTTGTGAGAATGAAAAACATAAGACACAAAGGCTTTATGTCGTGTGACAGTTTCCCATGAGGAGATGGCAGCTTAATGAATGAGGTGGCGCTGCTTGAACCAGGTGTCCTTAGGGCACTTCCATCTCGCAGAACCTGGTCTTCCTTGTCCTTGGCTATGCTGACTCACTGTAGCAAAATTAGGAGGAATTATTAGGAGGAATTAGGAGGAGAAAAAAACCAACAACTTTGAAGACTTAAGTGAACCGTAAGTCATGCACATACCGCATACTTATCAGAGAAACCTTTTTTTTTCTTTTAAACATAGTAAAGCGCCTTTGACAGACCTTTTGGCAACAAGGAGAATTGGGCATACTCAAGACCTCTTACAGGTGATCTGCAATTACAGAAAATAACCTTTTGGGCTAATCTCCTTATATTTAAGGGAGAATTCAATACCATGGAGCGTGACACAATTTGGACATTGCAGTGCCCTGTCCCACTTTCGTTGTTTTGCTCCATAATACTTGCACTTCTTCCTCTGAACAAGGCTTCTTGCCCCTGTAACTCAGTGCCAAATGCCAGTCATAACCTCTTAAAACAACAATAGAATAACCCTGGATAAAAAAGAAGGCATTTTATGCCAGAAGGGAGAGTAAGGTCTAATGGTCATTGATTAAACTCTATTTTCCAGATCTATGGTTTAGAAAATAGCCATTTAATGTAGCATTGCCGCACTGAACCCCAGTCAGACTCAGTGAGAAGCTAAGTATGTAGAGCATGTGCAATACCAAATTGATAAGGCAATGACAGACCTTCCAATGTGTTACAAGAAATACTGCTGATTGGAGTGATTTGACTATAACTCTCAGAGGCATGCAAAACTAATTATGTAAAGCCTGTAGCAACCTAAATGGAGATGCTTTCAAAAACAAACAATCAGGGAAATCAAATATTTGCAGGATCATCTGTCTAGTAGCTTCCCTATAAACTGATTTCTTTCTGCACTTGCTCTGTACACAGTGCACAAGCATGATCAGGACCCTGCTCCCCTAACTCAACCCATCTCCATGCCCTTCATCGTAGCTGCCTCTACTTCTTAGCTAAAACACCTACAACTGGTATTACTGTGAAGTCTCACTTTGTGCTACAAAATCCTACTTCCTTTATTCAGTCTAATATCCCTGTGATCTGTATTTCAGGTGCTGTTCTGACACTAAGAGATTTGGACAGTTTTAGGAGTAGATAAGGTCCAACAAATAACTTGTGCAAACACCTGGATGCTGAGCATACTTTGTGAATTTTTTGTTTTACTCCTTTTTCAGTCTGCTACCCAAATCCTTGCATGGGGCTAAAAGTCAGTTGCAGTTTTTGTGGGAAAGACCCTTTCATTTTCATTTAAATAGTGCCATATACAGTATAATATACAGCATTATACTGTATAAATAAATTACTTATAGTATAGTATATTACATATAGTATAGTATATATTAGTTGTAGTGTAAGCCACTGGCACTGGATGTTAATAATGTTCCTATCTGTTCACCCCTGGTGCCTATGCTGAGATTTATTAGCCAGCTGCCAATTTGTGGGATGAGTTGTAATAGGGACCTCTGTCCCATAGAAAAATGGGCAGAGGCCACCAAACCCATCCATAAGGTATCAGGTATCAGTATCGGCTCAGTAGATGAGTTTTAAATCATCATAAGATACTGATAAGGTGGGATAAAATGCATTGTTTTCCCAGTGGAAACCAGTTCTTTATAACATCTCTGTAATAGATCATCAAAAGCAGGGCAAGCAATCAGAAACCAAACGCATGTGGCCATTACAAATGGATATACAGGAAAGTCTAATCTGTAACAGTGGAGCAGATACATATATAATACTGTCCTATGTTGTTACTAGACTTTGCAAGGAGAGGAAGAGAACCCATGAAAGTATTTTGGAGAAGAGGAGAAAAAAGAGATGAATGTCCCTGCTTATTTGGAATAGGGAGGGGTGGGAATAAAAGAGCTGATGTTCCCAGCAATCCCCAGGGATATGGGCAAAGAATTAGAATGGATTGGGATGTCAGACTCAAGCAGGAAGAAACAAGGAGTTGATTTAAATAATATGGGAGCTTTAATTTAAAAGCATTTAAGAATTGCCCCATGTGGCAAAACACCCGCAGTCTGGTGCTGTTGCTCAACATACGTAGCAATGTGATGCAGCAAGAAGGCAGAACACTGGCAGGCTGTGGCAGCAGTGAAGCCAAGGTAGTAACAGCAAAAGCAGCATCCTTGTTAGAGCAGTTAGCTGGGAGCGTCCAGGAAATTAGAGCTCCCTGTCCCCCCCCGTCAATCCCCAAACTATTTGAAATTCCCATGGAAAGGATGCAAATAATGAAGAAGACAAACAAAAAAATACTGATGCAGTAGGATCATTCTAACTAAAAGAATACTTACAGAAAGTAAGTGTATATAAAGTGTATAAAAAGTGTATACACTACAGAAAGTAAGTGTATATAAAGTGTATATAAAGTGTATATAATACAGAAAGTAAGTGTAAAAATACTTACAGAAAGTAAGTGTATATAAAGTGTTCAGTTAACTGATAATTACTAATTTGATTTGATATTGTGTTGCTTTTATTATGCTCCTTATAAATGTGTAGAAAGTTAAAATCTATCTTCCCTTTTACAGACTAGATAGGTATATATGACTGTTTTAAGAAATTATCTGATAAAGCAGACACTTAAAAGAAATTGAGCTTGAACACGTGAGAGAAATAAAAAGCTTGTTTCCAGTAATTCATGAGAATTATTAAACTAACAATTATTAAGTGATAATTGGAGACTGCACATTTCTTCAACATGGAATTTTTAAGTGACTCTAGAGTATAACTCTCATTGATATTCAGTATAACAGCATTAATATCTTAAAATCATTGCATACTTCAGAAAATGTTGCCTCAGAAGATGTAATCTACTTAAATGACACGTTGCTTTGCAAATTCTTTTTAGTGTACATTTCTTAATATGCTTTGGTAGAATAATTTTAAAAAAACACATTTTTAATTATCCTTTAGCCACGGTCAGAGTTGCCTTAAAAAAATAAAGGAAGAAGGAAAAGCTGCAGTCCAAGCTTCTTGCTCCACCAGGAGTGCCAAGGTGGTAGTTAAAGTGCAAGCCCTTGCACACAGTGCAGGTAGTTCACAGCTTTGATCCTTGACGAGCTGAGTCTCAAACATACCATTTGGAAGGTTTTTTTGTCTCCATGCACTTCCCAATGTGCTAAAAGTCGTGGCCAGTTGAAGATGAGCTGGCAAATCCAAAGCCTGTCACGTGCCTCTCTGGAGAGCGTTTGACTAGGGACATGTGTGTAGGTAGATGACAAGAAGGGACAAAACACCTTGGCTGATGCCTTCCCCAGTGCCATAGGTTGAATAAGGAGCATCTTAAAGGTATAAACTGGATGTCAGAGCAAAGGAGAGTCAATTTTAGGTTTGATTTATAACAGAAGGGCCTGGTGGCCACGTATTTTCCCTTGAGAGACTCTTTTTTTTTTCCTTGAAAATCAGACATGAAGGAAATGCCAACCCTTCCATTAGGATAAATGCCATTAATCTAATAGTCTGGCAGCTATTGAGTTGGTTATCTACTGTTTTTGAGATCATCTTGGTTTTAAACTTAGGAATTTAGGACCATGCAAGTGGCCAAAACACAGATCAAAGAAAGGCTGCTAGAACATGTTAAAATTAAAATCTCAGATGTATTATCTTTACTAACCTTTCATGGAGGGTGGCAATTGCAGAGATGAGACAGCTTAAGAGAGACCTCTAACTGAATATGGATTATCCTTCATTTGAAACGGAGAATACCAGATGCCCAAGAAGCCTGTGACAGAACATCCCTGCTGGATTTGCTAATTAATATTGACCTTTCCAAATGAGTGATGCTAATTGTACAACTAGAAGAGAGACAACTTGTTTTTCTTTCATCTAAGCTTTACATTTAAAATACGCTTTTTATTTCTCCTTCTGGTCCCACGTCAGGTTGTCAGCTGCGAGCCCTTCCACTTTGGTGCACGAGAGGCCCCTGTCACAGCAATGTCCACTCCAAGCAAAACCTTTAAGGTTTCATGTGACAGCAGTGAAACTTATCTGAGCTTCCATAATGGCTTGATCCCAGCTTTAATAAAGGCTTGTTCTCCTTAGCCTAATGCTGGATTTATTTTC